AACGTTTGGCACACAGACGACATGGGATTGGAGAGAGAGAGAGTTTCAGACCGAACACATTCTGTCTCACAATGACTGACGCCGGTAGTCCAATCGACGTTTTGAGACCACTACTGTGTGTTCTCTTCATTAATGGTTGCAGGTAGCTATAAGCAATAAGACTACAACACGGAGGTCCGGTGTTCCAATTTCGCTTCTTTAGCTTCCCTGTTCGACCATTTGGTTCTCTATAGATGGCTAAATGTGAATAAATATGAAATAATTAAAGTAATTGTAGCACACACTGATCACGAAGTACTAATCACGAATTAGAAAGCACAGGCTAGCAATCACGGTACTTACACTCAGAGTACCATTTAACCGAGACGCGAGGAAAAGGCCACAGAAGTAGTAAGTCGGTTATTGAAGGAATTCAGAGGGACTAAATAATATGTATAAAACAAGCGTATTGGTCATCCAGGCCTCTGTCAGTCGCGTTCTAGCAATTCTGACGTTGTCCATCTTCTGTCTTGGACTCTCGGTTTCTGTTTGGCTGGTACAATCGAACTATGGTATGTAATCCAGAACCTGTGACACGTGCACGCTTTGTTGACGTCACACGGGAAGATGGAATGATCACAGTTGTCCGAAAACTGTAACTTATCGCTCCAAGGTGTACATCTTCTCATAGGCCAGGATCACCACAACATATCAATGGGATATGTGTCGCTCAGTCAGTACGTTTGAAGATTTTAGCAGCCCTTGCACAAACCTTCTTAGTCGCAAACGATAGGCATGTTCTTTATTTAAAAAAGAAAAAACAGGAAACGTGACAGCCACTAGTGTAGCTAATTTTACTCAGCAGTGCGGTTTTACAGTGAGTTGAGTGTGTATCAACTTGTTGGGCTGGTTCATCCAAAGGAACAGTATTTCAATGCAGAATTCAACGGAGATGATTCGGTCATCAGTGTATTTCAGTACAGATAAAAATAACAATAATAATGGTATTCGGAAGAAAGCCGCCTGATGCCCTTGGTACCCTAAAGATCCTTCTCAATTTTCGAATGATTCGCATAATATCAGATATCCCAGAATCGCTATGGTTTTTTGGTCAGTACTTGACAACATATGGTAGTTTATGTCCCGGGGCTCGAACTCAGTACCCTTCTAATTCGAAGCCTCACTACCCATAGTGGTCATCTTGATTTCATCTGTTTGTCTCAGGCTGGCCCACATACAAGTTGAATTATATAACGGATGAACTCTTTCATACAATGAGAATAGTATGGCTCTCAAAGATGGGTTGATGAGTATTGTCATTTTAAAAGTGTTTAATTCGTCGTCAGAAAAAGTGTCCACGGTTGTTGTTTGTAGATTTTTTGAAACTGGAAACTTCTTCAAGAAAACACAGCTTTAATTTCGGATGGATACGAGGTGTTGTATTGGAATAGCATATCAGTCAACGGATGAGTTTGTGTATCATCAACCGATTCAAAATCTTCAGTTCTTACCTGGTTACCCGAGTAATAGCTGGGTAGCGTACCACAGAATTTTGCCGATGAAGACTCCTGAAATGTGATGGGCAAATCTGTTTGATAAAAGCATAGCAAAGCTAAACAGACGCACGATCTGACTTTCGTTTGCGCCCTTGGAGACTGACCAGCAAAGAGATCAGTCTACTAGATTATAAGAGCTGGAGCTCAAATACATTGTATTGATCGGATTACGGATCGCAAATCACGGTCGTAACGGAAGCACAGAATTGTACTAGCACTTGTAGGCTGGAGTTTCCAGTCACCGGGACGCAGAAAAAAGGCCAGAGAAGTAGCGGTTCACTTATTGAGAGAAATCAGAGGGATTAAATAATGAATAATTTGTGCCCGGTGGCCGAGTGGGTAGTATGCTTGCGTTCTACCTGAGGCCTCGGGTGCGATCCCCAGTTGTGTCGATGGATTTGCACCGCACGTATGAGACCCAACCAGGTCGAAACAGCTGTCCAGTTCACGCGCCTCATTTACACGAAAAATTCATCACATAAATAGAAATGTCATTGATCAAACGGATATCAACCAATCGCTATCCTTGTTCTTCGAGTCACACGGCTCCTGTCTGAACTGTATTCCTGTAGATTGATCGATACTTATGTCCCTTGGCCAAATATCCAGAAACTGGAACGCGCAGACGCTTGACTGGCTTCATTTCGGGGGAATGACTCATTATAGTTATTCAAAAACTGCTCTTAGTGTTTTAATAAAAATCCAAATGTGTAAATGTGTTTGAATAACAAACGATGAGCGAAAACGTAGAGCAAAAAGTTGGACGAGCCCTGTTGTCATCCGATTCGTACATGGATGTGATCATTAGCTGTTTAGCTCTTACTCTGGGTTTTTAGTTTGGATAGAGTTAACAACTGGTGTCTACTGAAAAATAATATATCTGGTTACAAATAGCAAAATGCCATCTAAACCAAACCTAAGCTGACTGGTGGTAGCTGCATGGTGAAAATCCTAGCCCACAGTTCGAAATTCATCTACCCGAAAATAGAGTACAACCGATCACAGAAAATGTCCGCGAGATGGAACAGGAATCTATTCGTACATTCATACATAATAATAATAATAATAATAATAATAATAATAATACTGACTTCAGTAAGCACAGTATTACATACTCAAGAGAATGCGCGCGAACCTGACAGAATGAGCAAGTAAAAGCTAGCGGACAGCGTATCGAGAAATGTGCTCAGATGGAAACATCAAGATCACTCAGTCTAATGCGTGTGTTGACGTATAAATTGAATGGTAGGCACCGATCTGTTAAATGGATTCGACTATTCCTCTGATTACGGTCAAACGTATCACGCGATTTCTTGTATGGGGCACAACAAAGTTGGAAGCAGCTTATTGGACCATCTGAAATCAGAACTAGGTTTGTGTGGTGGTCCTAGTCCGAGAGATGACGCACACCACGGAACGACAAGTTACAGTTTTTGGACAACTGTGATCAATCCATCTTCCCGTGTGACGTCAACAAAGCGTGCACGTGTCACAGGTTCTGGATTACATACCATAGTTCGATTGTACCAGCCAAACAGAAACCGAGAGTCCAAGACAGAAGATGGACAACGTCAGAATTGCTAGAACGCGACTGACAGAGGCCTGGATGACCAATACGCTTGTTTTATACATATTATTTAGTCCCTCTGAATTCCTTCAATAACCGACTTACTACTTCTGTGGCCTTTTCCTCGCGTTTCGATTACGTGGGGTATTGCATTTTAGTATCAGTGTGGTCCAGTGCTTACGCCTCGTCCGTGATTGCTAATCTGCGTTTCGTGTTCCGTGATTCGGACTTCGTGTTCAGTGCCTACTTCAACTACTGCGATTACTACAGTTTGACAGCAGTACCATTCTGTGTTTACAAAATCTTAGTCCTGATGTAAGCAGTCACACGCATGGGAAGATCGTTACTAGTTCCACTCAGCCAAGATTTTCAACGGAAGATGACACACATATCCGTATATATTCGAGATTGCGGGACGTTGTTCCAGAAGAGTACCTTTCCGCTTTTTGATTACTACTCAAAGCTTGGGTATTTGCCTGTCGATTTGAGCATTTGTGGTTCTGGCTACAGATTGATTGATTGATGCCATTGAAAAGCATGTGGGTAGCTTCCAACTGTTAAGAGTGATCGTGTCTTAATAGAAAGTGCGACGTGAAATCAGGAAGCAGGTCCATAGAAGAAAGTGAACCGTAGGTAAAACACCGTAATGTAGCCAGTTTTTTGTACAAATTCTTTCCTTCTGTGGACAGGACAACCGATATTAGGCAATGCTTGCATTACCTGTCCTTCATTCTCCTTTAAAGTGTCATATTGCACTACCCCTGTTGTCTCGTAGCATGATACTACTCCAAGCAGGATGCGATGGGTTTGCATTCAATAAACTCCGATTTTCCATGGTTAACGCCCCATTGCGATAATATGTAGATTTGAAGCTCAACTACCGTCAAAACCCTGTTGACACTAACTCAATTTATGACCATTGATTCTTGTTTTCAGCACAAATGCCATTTGCCAGTGTGGACCAGTTACAATTACAGACCTATCTGAATGAGAATATGCGGACAACTGGTTTCGTTGCGGCTATCGGTGAGAAGGCCGCGAACAAACTGGTGATCACAATCACGTTTCCTGTGGAGTTTGGTGAGTTACTTGTGTATACAGTAAGATGCACCGGATGGGGACCCTAATTCTGTAATCGGCCAGTAGAGCTATTTATGAACCTCGATCAGGGTGGAATTTTCCACTACATGTTGATCAGATACAACTTTACCATGGTCTCGAGAACGGAATATATCAACATTCGGGCAAACGTACAATAAGACTACGCAGCGATGTATTCGACCTCAGTTCGTAGAGAGTTTTATCTGAGTAAATCGGCTTTTTCATCCAACCCAAAACAGACGGGCAGGGAAACACAGATCCTAGGCCGGAAATACATGTTAACATCACAATCTACAACCATCCTCCCAAGGAGTGACGGGAAAAACCCAAACGAAGGTGTCATCAAAAAAACTGGTTTGAAACCAGTACTGAAATACATATTAGAATAGGCTGGAACATTTAGACTACAAACTGTGGCACTATCTGATTTACCAAACACCGGGACCGGTGAAACCAGTCGTTCAACAAGTGGAGCCTTTGAGACAGAGGAAAATAAAAAGTGTTAAAGTGATCAACTATTTAGATTTAATGAACTCTGAGTCAACGCCTGAGCAGCATAGGATTCCTATGCGGGTCCGACAATTGCACGGGTTCATTCATCGATCGGTCGGACGGATCAGCTGTAAAAAGACACGTGATGCTTATCCAGCTAGCTGGAGCCCCACTTCTCTCGCGCCTTGAGCATACCCACGGACTTTCGGCTGTGCACACGCCTCGACTATAGGTGATAACAGAAGTATCACGAAAGTTGAGAACCGCTTATCAAACAATTTCGTATCAGGTTGAGGGATTTCAAAATGAGCAACTCGCGGAAAATGATCCATTCAAATCGCGGAGAGGGAATTTAGTTGTTTGAGCTCATGGGTGAGTGAAACAAGACGATGTGACTGTAGAGGACCAGTCATAAACTCGGGTCAACGGGGAGAGTGAATGGGTAACACCGGGGTAGAGTTATATTTTCATACACGAACGCCAAAGTGTGCTAGACAAATCACAGTACAATCATCTTTATGTAACTTTATGTAAGACACAATACTGGTGGGTTTCCCAGCCTAGAGCAGGTGAATTCTCATAGGGAATTGAAAACCATAGATTTCGGTTAACCACAGCCTGACTGCCTAGACAACAGGACGGTGTGTGAAAACAGAAATTGATTATGGTGCCGGTGCCCAGNCCTCGATGCTCAATCGAGCCGGTGACCACTACCACAACCAGGAAGGTGTGTGGTTCGTATGTCTCCTCTTGGTTGGTTTGGAATCAGGATTTTTAACCAATTTCCCTAGGTGAACTACCAATTGTCCACCAACCCTGTTATAACCCCGGATATCGACTCCTCGACCTCTCACTTTGGTGGAAACTCACCTCCGCCGAGAGAAGGCAGTGAGTACGCCTTCCTCAGCAGACGCTCTTTGAGAAGCTTGCTCGTATGGGAGCATTTCAAGAGTTGCAAGCCTGGGGTGATAAGCCATAACCCGAGAAACGCACCTCCAACCATACTGAGGCTTGCGAAGGTAATACGATTAATACTCGAAGATGAATAATGGGACAGTGGTACGTGTGTGTGTGTATGTATGTATGTATGTATGTGTGTTTGTGTGGGAAAGGTGTTCACAGTGAATGGTTGAACGGTCGATTTGAAGTAGAATGTATTCAAAAATACCTTTTTCGATGATTTTACGGATAACTCATCAAGGTCAAAATAAGAAAATTAGTACACACATGATTCATTCACTCTTCTGCTTGACCCAGTTGAAATTGTTTTATACAAATTTGATTGTAAAGACTTGAAAATCGCAAACAGATGTTTGGCTTAATTGTGTACACTTAATCAGTTGACATATTTCTTGATTTTTATGAAAATAGCAAGAGGTTAATGTGATGGGATTGAGCAGTAGAGGTCGATTAATAATAGCAAAGAGTGCGGGATGGATTGGTATCTCTAAATTGAAATAGCTGTACAGTACTTCCTAGCTTTTCATTGCACAGTTCATATAGTGTATGCACGACCACTTCTCATCATGAAATTTAATCAAATGCTACATTGTTCTCATGCATCAAATGGTCGGGTTAAAATATTTCCAACCGAATCACAGTCCTGAAGGCTAGTGATGAGGTGCGCTATGTATGATACCTGCATTAAGCTCGCAAAGATGGGTTGTGCTCTATCGTGTAAACGGAAAATGCGAAAAAAGAAAAATGGTTTGGTCAGCAACTCGGTGCCCGGTGGGTAGTACACTTGCAATCTGCAAATGAGGTCTCAGGTTCGATCCCTAGTTGAGACGATGAATTCGCACAGCTGATGAGACCCAACTAGATCAAAAAACTCTTCAGTGCTGCTCAGCTTCTCAGTTCATGCTTCATTTGCTCTATACACGATGGATTACTCTATGAAATTCTCTGAACTTCTCGTTTACTCATAAAAGAGCTGCATCACCGGTTACAGTTTTCGGACAACTGTGATCATTCCATCTTCCCGTGTGACGTCAACAAAGCGTGCACGTGTCACAGGTTCTGGATTACATACCATAGTTCGATTGTACCAGCCAAACAGAAACCGAGAGTCCAAGACAGAAGATGGACAACGTCAGAATTGCTAGAACGCGGTTGACGGAACCATGGGTGACCAATACGCTTGTTTTATACATATTATTTAGTCCCTCTGAATTCTTTCAATAAATGAACTACTACTTCTGTGGCCTTTTCCTCGAGTCTTGGTTGCGTGGGATATTACATGCAAGTACCAGTGTGATCCAGTGCTAGCGTTGCGTTCGTGATTTCTGGTCCGTGATTTCTAATTCATGATTCGTACTTCGTGATCAATGTGTACTTCGATCACTACAATAAGCACAGTTCTTCACGTCCACCTCCAAGTGTTCGCTGGAAATTGCATACAGATGTGAGGGACCCGTAAAGCATTCCGTGTTCTCTCGTAGCGTTCCGTATGATACCACTATTACCAATGCCTAATTATCATGTCAACATGATTCTCCCATTGGTGTGGTTACTTGCGAACTGAATTTATTTCTCAATCTATCAACCCGTTTGTTTAGGTGCCCAATCCTTACTCGAAGTTCGGACTACCCCATTGAGCCCCACATCTGTCCAAGTCACTCTGATCACACAAGGTGTTGCCCCGGTGACCGGATCGATACGGCCAAGTTACGCAGGCTATCCATCCATGTTGACCTACCCGATCGATGGAACAGCTGACGAGGTACGTTGGTGAGATGAGTGTTCAGGAATTTCCCTCTTGTAAAATGCCATAACCCCATGCCTCAAGTCACGTATTCGGTTTGTGTTGTGTCTGGATCTCGTTTGATCACAATGTACACACAACAAGATATCACACGATGAAACACCAGGAACACACGTACCTCAACAGCCACACTATTCGTCTAGCCTCACGAGTACGATCACGGCACAGATTGGACGCCACTAGCACTAGTAGATTTCTCCCAACTACGTAAGCAAGAACACAGTTAGTGCACAGCGAACGTGTACTCGACACACAGGAAGCAAGTCAATTTGCAAGTTTTAATCTGATGCTTATATGTGTCTCAAAATAGCATCGATCAATGCAATAAAAAGATTAGGCCAATCAAGTACAGTTAGCAAAGTTTGATCGATCATAAGTCACGGAGTTAGTGAATTTCAATCGATCACGGATCGGACGGACGGAGTGAATGTCTCCGTATGACGCGATATGATTGATTATTCTCCGCGAGAGTGGTATTGATTCGAGATGTTCCGAATTGCAGACACTCGAAAAATAGTCAGTTTTAGGTAAAAATAGTCTTTTTACCTAACAGTTTTTATATCATCCGCAATGGAACATTCACCGGAAGCCGTTATAGCCAAAGCACAAACACAGTGAAAAAAACAGGGACAGAATAGATATAACGCTATAGTTAATACAGTTGGTTATTCCGGTCAATGTAAATGTGTTTGGGCTGACAAATCCAGGTGGAACAGAAGATTTGAATGCAGCACGTGCAACCAGTTGATTGAATTTGGAACCTGTGTGCTTGAAGCCAATATACTTTCAGCTGTAATCTGTGTAGAATTCGTTTTACCAGTTTCCAGAAACCTGATTTGCATGCTTTGAAGTGTTGGCAAGTCAGTGTTTTGATTGCGAGATAAACAAGTGGAGCCAGTTAAGAATTGGTGAAATCCAAGAGAGCCTTTTAGGTTTTCCACAGCTAGATCAGGTAATATTAGCGATGAAGTAGAGCAAACGTGGGATGAAATACAAGTATATACACATGTACAGATCGTTTCGCCAGATGGAGACGTTCCAAATGGTTCAAGAGGGATAATATGGAAAGAAAACCTCAATTTATTCAACATAGAAATAAAGCGATCAGACCAAGCACGATCTTAGGTAAAAATAAAATTCGTATATNTATATATATATATATTCCACGTTTCAATATTTCCCCAATCAGAGACAGCAGCCTCTAAAAAGCGTTTACGTTGTTTGTGGGAACATTTCGTGAAATGCATCACACTGGTCTTTTTAGTGTACAAAGTGAATTGCAATGTAAGGAGGAAACAGCATAGTCAAAAGATAAATTGTAAACAAGAGAGTCGGTAAAGATTCATGAAAGCGTCAGTACATTCAGCCTGTTGGAAATAATGAGGAATGATTGTAACTTGGGATACATTTGGAACTGGAACCCATTTATCACTATCTAAGGAAACACTGGTGACCCATGACGGCCCCAGCAAACTGGTTTGTGGTTGGTCCAAGATGGCTCATCGACCATGACAACGAGGGAGCCAATCAACACACAGTACATGGTCGCAATAGACCAATAGAGTTGAAGGGATGCAAACAGCCTTTCAAAACCCTCAAACAGAACTATATAAGCTCGGTCACTGGCGTTTCCCAAAAGGTACAATGATTATGTTACCTAGCCTGACTACGAAACGTCTGTGAGCAACATTTCCAGCTCGCAGAACACATCAATACCAACTATTAGGCCTGTGTCCAAAGAGGAAAAGAGTGACCATGGGTCGAAAGAGAGAAATTGGGGGCGTGAGCCATAACATGATGCTTCGGGGACAAAAGGAAGCCCGAAAGACATCTAGTGTTTGCAATCTGACATGAACGACTAACTGGTAACTGTGGGTTGAGGGAAGGGATGAAAGCTACAGCAAGAGGGACTGTCGACGGACCGAGGTCACACTCTGTGTAGTGCCGTTCATTCGAGTCTAATTCTCATCCTATCCTGATGAACAGTGTTCCATTCCCTTGGAGTAGAAGATACGAACAAACAGATCAATCAAGCCTCCTAGTTGCTCGGAGTAACTTATTGACAAAGTGCTTTTCTTTATCAATGGAGAACTAAATCCGTTCCCGTAGAACGGGCGTTGTGATAGCCCCTGTCCCACAGGCGACGTAAGTCAGCTGAAAACACATCCAGCTTGTGGGGTTACCACATACAACGCGATTGGTCTAGTCACTTGAATTAAAGACGGCTTCATTTTAAGTTGATGAAAGATATATATATATATGTATATATACATATATTACTAAACCACCTCTGGTCAATTAAATCCTGCTGCAAGTTTGAAAAATGTTCGGTTGATTTCTCGAATAAGATAGTGGGTAACAAAGCTGTTATTATGTTCAGCAATGGTAAAATTAACTTTGTTTTATTTTTATTTAGATTTACAAAAAGAAAACAATTGTATAACTGCTCTTTGTGAGAAGAGCACCCGGTAGCAAATAAGCTCGTTTGCGGTGATTCATATGCTAGTTAATACATCAAGTACATCATATTATCAACATATTCATATTTTGTGTCAAAAGCACAGCAGGGGGAGGAGAAAAACATCACAAAATGTGAGTAATGTACGTTAGAGGATCATTTTGGTAAATCCCAATGTGGATAATGATGCGATTAGGTCGATCATCAATACCATCATTTCACACCTAGTGGAGTCAAACCACGTGGTTCAGGTGGCCGAGACATCTCAACCCCTTCACTTAGTTCGTAGCCGTCGATCTAAAAGGGTTAGGTGTCGCATTCTGGCCACATGTTTCAACAAGACTGTGTTGGTCCCACACCCGGCCTCACTCTAACTGGAAATGTAATAGAGCTAGTGGACAAGTTTTGTTATTTCGGAAGTTATAGCCCATCCAGGTGGACACTTCAAGGGTGAATTGTCAACTCGCATACAGAAGCCTCGGTTAGCATGTGCCAACTTGAGATATCTATGGCACCGTCAAGACATCCGGCTCTTTGTGAAGGATTAAGTTTATGCTGCAACGGTTCGGCCTGTTCTGCCATACGGCGCGAAACTTGGCCATTAAGAAAACAAGATAAAGACAGACTGTCGGTGTTTGAACACCTCTGTCTACGCAGCATTGCACGAATCTGGTGGGGTAGCCGGTCGAGCAATGCTGAGGTTAGGGGCAGAGTTTTGGGTAACAATAGTCACACATTGGGGCGAGTGGTCTACCTCCATAGATTACAATGGCTAGGACATGTGTTACGCATGTCACCAGGTAGGTTACCACGGCGAGCGATGTTCGCCGAAGCAGATACTGAGTGGAAAAAAGCCAAGGGTGGTCAAGTCAAGATCTGGCACGAGGGTATGAAAACCCTAACCAGGAAACTGGATCACATAGGTCCTGTTAGGCTCCCTGGCTGGGGACCTCGGGATGATCGTAACCGATGGTTAGAGACACTGAGCGATATGCCTGGGTGTCGTAAACAGTGACGTTCGTGCATCTCCTCAATTTCTTTGCAACCTTAGACCACTGAACTTCTCCATTTCCTTTTCG